TGGTGTTTGGAAATTTGAAATGCGTAAGGGTGAATTGATTTGAAGTGTAGATACTGCCTGGCAAGTGTATTCAACATAAAAAATGAAGAAGCGTGAAGTGTTTAGGTTTGGTGGGTTTGTTCAGTAATTGAGTTACAAATTCTAGTGTCAATATATATATTTCTAATTATATAATTAAATTTATTGATAAGTAAATATTATCTCACAAATCACATTTATAATTTAAAATTTGGGATTAATATTTAAAAAAATTAATTTTTCTAAATGTACTAAACCAATGTAGAATGCACTATTAAGATTACAATTGTTTAAGGAGATATTAATTTTAATGTACATGAAAACTAATATGAAAACACTTTAATCATAAATAATAAACAATATTATTATTATCATTGTTTTTGTAGGATGTTTACTTGATGCGACGTGGATTTAGAGGTCTATATATTGAGGCAGATCTATTTGAACTTCTGAAGTTGGAAAATTGAAAAATAGAATTAGAGAAGCAAGCTCACCTAAATCAAAACAGAATGTCCACCCTCTTTGAAGCACATGACCATAAAATAAGCCCCTAAAATTAGGATCTTTTCAAAATAATACTAATATGTTATTCAAGAAGATTTAAGGATTTATCAAAAATTAAACAAAAAAATTGTTAAAATGCTAGTAAACATAGAAGAAGCTTTATCAAAGTTCAATTGGAGACGGTGGCTGTAGGTTTCGTATGATAACTTGTCTTGGCACTTTAATTTCTAGTTTTGATATTTTTTTATTAATTTAAAGATATATAAAATATTAATTAAAATAAATATTAAATATATTTTTGTAAGGATAGGTCCGAGTTGCCCACCTCGGACGTACTAAATAATTCTTCAACAATCGAAGTGGAAAGTAAACCCAGCTGCATAATAGTTATCGTGAACAGGCACGCACCTGATTTCTTATGACAGGCTGTACAATAGTTATGGTGCGTACGCCCACACCTGAATATGTCTCAAATTCCCGGTCCCGAGTATCTCGCTTGGCAGGCCAACACGGGTTCTCCATTGGAACATATAAATACCCCTCAAGGGCCACTTCAGAAAGGTAATTGAAACCTACCCTAAGCTCCTTTTATCTCCGCTCTAGAGGTAACCCCGATTATTGCTGACTTAAGCATCGGAGTGTCTATCCCGAGGTCCACCTCGGGGCTTTGCAGGTCATCCCGAAGTGCAGTTGCGGACTGAAGAAGGACTTCTGGTTCGTTGCAATTACAATTTTATATGTTTTTAAAATGTTAAACGATTAAAAAACTAATAATTGCAACTGTAGGCTAACACTCATATATTAAGCCGTAAGTTATTTTCGAAAATTTGGCATGAAATAAGACATAACTTCTCAGTTTACTTGATTTTTCTAGGCGGGTATTAATTTTCAAAATGAAGTCAAGCACTAAACTGTCCCTAAACTTTTTGTTGGTGCCGTTTTTGTCCCTCAACTGTTCAATTTAGTACAAAAATGGTTCTTCTGTATTAAAAATTCCATTTCTTTTGACGGTGCCAATTTTTTTTTTCAATTTTGGTCTCTTAACTTACATCATATTGACACTATAGTTCACATATTTCTTATTTTTTTGATTTGTTTCTAAATTTCAGTTTTTTTACCAATTTAGTCACTGAACTTTTAAAAGATCTTGCAGTTTAATTCTCAAATTTTGATCTCTTACAATTGAGTTCTTTTTGCGAAACAAGCAAAAGTCATGTGGGGAAATTGTACTGGGGCCATATTCCTTAAATATTAAGCTTCAATAGCTCCTGATGTACCAAAAAATCAAGGTTAAAAAACATCATGATATAAATTAACCCACACAAATACCATTAAAATCAAGACTAAGAAACACTGAACGTTAAAATTCAATCAATCAAGATATTAGTACACTTTAAATTCAACACCACCCATTCAAAAAATAAAAGGGCGCTCTTTTCCAATTGCCCGAATGATCTAATGCTTTCTGCTTTCAATCAACAAAGTATCAGCTTCGAGCAGCTTATACTTGTTAGAAATTCTAATTTAGAATTAAAGAAATCATTAAGGAAATAAAAAAAAAAAAGGGAAATCGTTCAAACTATTCAATAACTGTTCCACAATTGAGTCTAATATAACTTACCCTTTCTTGACAAAAATTCAAACGACCCATCTCCCAAGTGACCCTCATCCTTACTGCTATTAAATTGCAAGACTAAAACCGAACTGAATTTCCCGAGATGGAATTCTCAATTCAGATTTTGACTAGAATCAATAGAAATATGCAAAGAAATCAACTAGTTAATTAAATTAATAGGAAATGAACTCTAGACACATGATTTAAAATTAAGTTTAATTAAATTTTGAAACGGAAAAAACTCTAGCAAATCCTTCAGTTGATTTCTATTTGCAAAATAATTATACCTTATTTTATGCACTTCAAAATATGCATAACTATTAGGATGCTAAATAGACTAGCCGAACACCAAACTCAATACCATGTTAGTTATGCTGTTAAGGGAGCTTAACTTAATACCAATACTGAAATACAAGCTTTTTCGCTACCATCCCCACTTAATTTTCATTTTAAAGTAAACTAAATGACTTAATTTTTATATCATTGCATGAAGAAGAAAAACTACTAGAAGACTTTGTGAGGTTGATTTTCTCAATAACATCATCTTGTTGAATTACATGGAGATAAAACTGGAAAGAAGTGAGAGGCATTTTGTGAGCTCTCAAGTTCTAAGCACCTCTATGACTTTGTTCATTGAGGGGCGATCACTCAGCTTCATCTATATGCACCACAAAGCTACCGTGATCATTTTCTTTGCAATTCTGTTTTGATATTCTTCTGTGACTTCTCGTATTTCCAACTCCATTCCTCTGTTCAATTGCTCAAATGCCCATGAAGGAAAGTAGATTTGACTAGAATACTCTACAAATGGGTTCACATTCTTTCTTCTACTAGTCATTTCCATCAATAACATCCCAAACTGTAAACATCAATTTATATGTTTTTGTAAAACTGCTCAAGGTTATATGTCAGCGTTACTTTCAACTGGATACAACTTGCCAACACCAAAATTAGAGATTTTTGGACCAAAATTAGAGATTTTTGGAGCAAAATTCTCATCCAAAAGGATTTTGTGAGACTTGATCTCAAAATGCAAGATTTGCATATCATAACCTCGGTGTAAATGCACAATCCTGAAATGCACTCCTAGAGAAATCTTGTAACAATAATAACTCCTGTGAGTGTGGGCCTTTTTTAAGTTTTTCGGGATTTCGTATACTAAGTTTAAGTAGTTAAATTTCTATAGAGTACACACATACTAATATACTGTCTTGCACTCTACATTAAGAAAAAAACAAAAAGAATAACAACAAAACCTCATGACTTTCAAGCTTGACTAATAAATATTTAATTGCTGTAAGAGTTCAGCTAATCAATTCTTTGTTGTTCCACTTGCAACTGTTATGGTCATGTGCATTTGTGCCACCCAGCAATGTAATTCAGGAGATAGACTGTGCAGGAATTTCTTGTAGACAGGTACAGCTGAGAAGATGGGAATGCCAATGATAGCCTTAAAGAATATATGTCTCCCAAGAAAGGAAGGGGAACTTGATATTAAGCAAATAGGAGCACGAAATGATGCTCCAATGTGCAAATAAACTTGGTTGCTATTTGAAGACAAGGAGAGTTTATGGGTGAAATGGGTAGAGGAGGTTTATCTCAAAAGCGGAAGCATATGGCAGGATGATATCCGAAATGACAGCCCCTGGTCTGGGAGGAAGATCTTGCAGCTAAGGCCTATTATGAATAACTTTATCTGCATAGAAGTCAGGGAAAATGCATTAACTTATCTTTTCTTTGATTGTTGGCTTGGTGATTATGCTGTGGTTGAACAAGTAAATGTCGAAGAGCCCAAGGCCTGAGGTTTGAAATCAAAGCTGGGTCACTGGATGCTAAATGTAAATGGTTGTATCCGAAACAGACCAATGACAAATAGCAAAAAGTAAGTCTAAAATCAACTTCCAAATTAATCTGGGTGTACAAAACACCTCTCTAGTCTCTAGTATCTAGTATCAACTGTCACCTATCCGCCGGACATTATTATCAAATAATCTTACAATGGGGCTGTAGCTGGCAATACAAACAAGCAAGAAATACAGAGATGGTTGGTGCATAAAAACGCATCTTACACCCTTAAGTTTCATCCTGGATCAAATTCCATAGCCAAACTAGTACTTTCTACCAACAGCAGCTTTCCTCCGCTCAGCAGGACTCTTAGCCTTCCTCTCAGCACTGGCATGTATCGGATTGAATGCTAGTCCGCCCTCACTCCCAATGTCTCTCTTCATTGCTCGTATCATTGGTTTAACAATGAATAGATACTGTAGATATCAAGACCGGAGCAAAAATAATTATTAATCGATCGATCACTAAAATGTGAGATCAAAGAATATGATACATTGATACGCTTGAAAGTTTATGAGGAGCTTACTTGAAGTAGCGCAATTAAAGGAATTAAGATCTTTCCTTTGTCATTGGGGTTTGGTCCTTCAATCATCCTCTTGTCAACATGGATAGCCTTGCTTCCATTCAACAAAACTTCTGTGACAGTGCTAACCAAATTTGGAATCGAAGCAACTCCATTTGGAAGAACACATCGTCAAAAACAATTGTAATAACATTACCAAAAAAAATAATAACAGCAACAAATATGCAAAAAAAAAAAGAAAAAAAGAAAACAACAAGCGGCGACATTATTGCAAGTTGCTGACCTTTTCATCACTTTAATTCTTGTTACATCTTCCACTGTTCTCAACCAACAGAACAGGTGTAGTAGCTCCCTGAAAGAAGCGAAGGCACTGTTAAAAGCTAAAGATAGGACACACATAATGAACAAGACAATCAATGCATCATTAGTAAAACAATTCGATATTTATGTACACTCAAAGATCCTGAAGGAGTACTCTGAGTATATGATATGTAAGGTCACAACAGACATTTATAAACACAATAACTAAGATGCTCAGGGAGTTTAGAAATTTAATTAATAAATGAGGGTAAAGGTTTGGGCATTTTGGCCTATGTTTTAATTTTTTACTCTGAGCCAGTAATCATGTGTCTTAAGTGGTAAAATATACAATGTGGCCCTCATCATCCAGAATTCTTCCTCTATTTTCTTAGGATAGACACAAGCTTCAATTGTTCTTACTCTAGTTTCCTCTTCTCAAATTCATCTTTCTTTCCTCGTCTCTTTTTCTTCTGTTTCTTAAAAAATGGAAGGAAACTTACGATGTTTTGGAAATTTCATCCAATGGTCCAAACCATACATAGCCATGATTTCCCTGCAATTTGGCTATGCCAGAATGAACATCATCACTAAGGTTTCCCTCAACAGAGGAATGAGCCATTATGTTCTGGTTGTCTACCGCCACACCTTTTCCACTGCAGTTATTGCTCCTTTTGCTCTCATTCTGGAAAGGTTCAAATTCGATGATTAAACACTTGATGATGATAAAAAATTAAAGTACGTAATATAAAGAAATTCTGATTTGTTTTGGTTGGTTTTGGCTTTCTCCAGGAAAAGTTAGGCCAAAGATAACATTCCCCATTTTCATGCAAACATTTTGTTCTGGGTCTTCTTGTGTTAGAACTCTTTCTTTCTCCACGTATGGATTCTGAAATTGATGGAATTAAGCTGAACATTTTCGGTTTTTTTTTTTTTTTTCCTTGCCGGTAGGCCTGTGATTGATCAAAACTTCTACAACTCCGGACTCAAATTCACCTCGTCAACCTTTTCCTGTGCCATGAGTAACATGTTACCTGACATGACATTTGTTATGGCAGTTCTATGCAGGTCTACTTCAAAAAAACAAAAAAGATTCTTTAAGTTCTTAACTTTTGTAGTAAAGGAACTGTTTTAGAAGTTAGACCAAAAAGAAACGGATATGTATATATGCATAAACTCCGATTGTTTGGAGCAATTGATACTTAAAGAACAAATTTTTGTTTTCTTTATTGGGATTTAAAGGATGAAAAAGGTGGACATGAAGAAAGTAAGATGCCAAGCAAAGGTGGTGGGAACCATAGTGACAGAGACCGGGCCATGTTGATGACATTGTACAAGGGTCATGTTCTAAATTTTTTCTGGTCCAGCCACATCCAAACCCACTCTGTTCCTAACACTGCCGCTACCGACAAGGATTGGCTTAAGGGTTCCATTCTCCTCATCTTTGCCACTCTTGCTTGGTCTTCATTCTTCATCCTTTAGGTATCAATGTATAAATAAATCATTACTATAATTAGAATAAGCTATTTTTTAGTTCGAACTGATAAAAAAAAATGTAATTTTTAGTCAAATTGATAATTTTGTCACTACTTTGACTGAAAGAATGTTTTTGCTATAATTCTTTAATTTAATTTTTAATATTATTTTGTTGTTGTTACAGGCAGTGACACTTAAGAGATACTCAGCTCAGCGATCCCTTACATCTCTGGTTTGCTTCACGGGGACATTACATTCTATTGTCGTCACCTTTGTGATGGAGCCCAAATCCTCTGTTTGGACCATTGGCTGGGACATGAATCTTCTTGCTGCAGCCTATGCTGTTAGTTTCCCCCCTCTTTTTCTATAGTTACCAATTAATTAAAATGGCGATACCATTTTCACCTCATTTTCTTTCGGGACTTGCACTTTTCAATCAAAATGACCAACCAAAAAACAATACACAAACAAGGGATTCTCAAATTTTCTAGGGGTCAAACGGAGTGCATGCTTCCTACCAAAATTAACCATAAGAGAAGGTTTCCCTTACTGAAATTTAAAAAAAAAAAAAAATTAACATGGGTGATTAAGATATGGAATTCTCGTGACCAGGGCATTGCATCATCAGGCATTGCATACTATGTCCAAGGATTGGTGATGCAGAAAAGAGGGCCCGTCTTTGTCACAGCTTTCAGCCCTCTGATGATGATCATTGTAGCAATCATGGGTTCTTTCATCCTAGCCGAAAAGATCTATCTTGGAGGGTAATTCCCATAAATTCATCATTTAAAAAAAATAATTTTAGTTTAATTTACATCTAAAGTTCTAGTCTTTTTTGTTTTGCATTGCTTTCAGTGTTCTTGGAGCTATACTGATTGTAATAGGGCTCTACTCTGTTCTGTGGGGAAAGTACAAGGAATACCAAGAAAAAGAAGCTGAAGCAATACGCCCGAAAGCCATAAAAAGCAATACTGCCACCGCCAGCGATGTCCAGAGTAATATTGCTGTGGTGGTTATTACTGTTCCGGTGCCACAGCCACCATTGATTGTCACACTTGCTCCCAACGCTTAAGCAATTTCCTTCCTCTTGAAGAAGTGATCAGAAAAAGAGGGAAAATACTAGAGGAAGAAAAGGGCTGTTTTGTACTTTTAAACTCACTTTTTTTTTTCTTTTTTTTCTTTTTTTTTTTTGTGTTTCCATCAGCCTTTCTCTTTGTTAATCTTTCTTTTTAACCACCTTTTTTTTAATATTAATGGGTCTTTGTATCTTTGTTGTAAGGTGATGCTTGTTAATGAAAAGCTAATCAGAAAATGCAGAACCCCCTTTTTTGTTTCTAAATTTTAATGGCCTTTTCAATATTTCCAGTGCATCTTAAAATGAGTACGGACTGACTAAAAATTCCTCAATCTTCCAAATAGAAAATGCAGAATCAATCCGTTTTGGTTTTAAAATTCCGATGCCTTTCCTAATTTTGTCGTCTCACTGAATGATTGCATGAATTTTTGTTAGAAATATTGCTGACGGCTCCAATGCAGATCCCACTAACATGACAACTTCTAGTGCGTATCTTTCTTTATTTGTTATACTTTTTTTTTAGAAAAGAAAAAATTAACACATTTTGATATTTAAAATATTAAGAATTTTCATTAAATTATTTAAATATTTTTAATAATTCTTTTTTTTATTGATTTAGACTTCATTTGGTAATATTTGTTAGTACTTTACTTTTTGATTTTTATGTATTTTTAATATTTTAAAAATATATAAAATATTAATTAAAATAAATATTAAATATATAAAATATATTTTATATATTTTTAAGATGTTAAAAATTAAAAAACTCATAACACAGTTACATACCAATATTGTCATACTAAGTCTTATTAAAATATTTTAATTTTTTATTACCATTATTGACATTTTAATTTATTAAAACATTCTAATTTTCCTTAATAATTACTTTTTCTTTTAGGTTGTAGCTAAAAGTTAACGAGTAGCTGTGTCACGTTAGCTCTCTCATGTAAGATAAGGAAAATGATTGGCAAAGCAGTCAAAGATATTAAAGTACCGATGCCATGTATGCTGAATGGCTTTTAAATAGTCGTAAACTTAGTTGAAGGGCTTAATTGAGATAAATATCAAAGTTCACGGTCCAACTTAGGGAGTTATTCCTCGATATTAAAGTACTGATGTGAGGGGTTTAAGTAGTGATAAACTAAGTTCAAGGGTTTAATTGAGAAAGAATCAAACTTCAAGGACCAACTTAAGGAGTTATTCCTTGATAATTAGCCAATTGGATATTTGGTATTATGGTCACCTCTATATAATTAAAAGTTTAACAATATGTTTGGATTGGGGAAAATGGCTTAGAGGAAAAAAAAAAATTATTTGATTATTAAAACAATTAGAAAGGAGGAAAGGAGAAGGAAAACCCTTTGCTTTATTTTTTCTCTTAATTTATTCATTTATCAAATGTGGGGAGGAAAGGGAAGGGAAGGTGAGGGTTCTCCTCAACTCAAACTATAAGTTTTCTTATTAAAAGAAATATGAGAATAGTATAATTACAATGTCATATAATATTATAAATGTATAACTATAATGTATTATTAAATAAACAGATATATATATATATTATTGATAGACTTTTAAATAAAAAAATTAATTATATAATAATATATTATAATCATAAATTTATAATTTTATGTAGTATTATGACCATAGCATTTTCAAAAGTCTTAGATCTACGTTGGAGACGGGCAATCAAGAATTTTAGGAGGAGATTCATGGAGAAGTGTCACCTTGTATTCTACGAAAAATTCTACTGTATCCCGAGGATACCGCTAACGTGGTATCCCCGGCCAATCACAGTGTGCCACGCCATTATTTTTACTGTTGAGTGAGCTGACATAGCTAATAAAGTAGAGAATTTTTTACGATGTGGCATACTGTGGTTGGCCGAGGATACCACGTCAGTAGTATCCTCGAGATCCAACAAACTTTCTCCTAGTCTACAATTCATCGTCAATACATCGTCATTGTGTTAGGCCCAAGGTCCACGAACATAGCCTAGCACGCTATCCTGGGCCATCATTCCCAAAATTGGGCCTGGTTCTAGAGCTGGATCGACCCAAATCTGGTCATAACCCAAAAAATATATAATGTTCTTTTCTAGTTTTTTTACCTTTTTGCCCCCACAACAATTAGTTTTGCAAGAAATATGTATATTTTTTTCCTTCCAACGATCATATAATGAATAATTTTAAGGGAATTTTAGACATCGTATGGGTATGCTTTTTAAAGATCTTTTTTTTTTTTTGACATATTATCTTATTTAAAAATGTAAATTTATTATTAATTAATTTTTTTTTAATAATTTTAACTCATGTATTACATATTTTAAGATAACAATAAAAAAACCATAACTATAAACACAGTTCAATACAACACAACACTATTAAATAAAAACCTTAGTTTAAAATAAATTTTATAACAAAATTAAAAAAAAAAAGTGTACTATTAGGAGTTTAGGACTAGTCCAAATTAAAATCAAAATCAAGTTAAAACTAAACGGATGTGCATTATATATTTGGCAAATCAATTGTGTGGATAATGTTAATTATGTCATAGACCCATATTAGCTCTTAACAAAATCGATCCTCAACAATCAACACATATAGATGGCAAGCCAATTGTGATCTCGGTTGCAATAAAACCGGGAGTGCCAATTTCAATCCGGTCCTAACCCAAACGTGATGGAATGCAATCTCTCTATCACCCACAATCATTAGATATACCAACAATGAAAAGGTCAACTTAATATTTAGAATATGGATAGATTCCACTCACTTTCAATGTGAGCTTAAATTCTTTTTGCATCAATTTTATAATTAGGTTTTGGTCATTTTCATTAGAACTAG